ACTTTTTACGGCATTGATCGAAATTTTGAAGAAATTGTTGTTAATTTCGATTGATTTTTTGACCGACTTTCCAAAAGAAGGAGGTACTCAATTCGTCTGTATGTTTTTTTATGTGTGTTACGGCATAACTCCGCCGCTAGTGGTCCGATTTTGATAATTTGTTTTTTATCCGAAAGGTATTGCATGCAGGTGGGTCCCATTTTTTTTGGTTGATTTTTGTGTCAATCTAATCATTTAATATTTCATACACATAACAACATAATACATAATACATCGGATCCATAATTTACCTTTTTGCCTAAACATTAAGTTAAGAAAGTAGCAATAATTTTTAGTCGTGTGTATGAAAAAATTCAAAGTTTATTTCTAAAGTAAATAAATTCTTCATCTATATTTGTATATAAATTCTCAAAGTGTACACGATTTACATAATGTTGTTACGCAAAATTAATGCTAAAGTTACAAGACGGCCGGCGATATTTGCAATTCAAATGGAAGTCTCATACAGTTGAACATTATGGCCTATTAGCCTACCAAATACTTGACAACTTTTATATTCACTGCCCTTGATGTTTGAATACCCTAATTAAGTATTCTTTTAACTTTTATTAAGGAGATATTTAGGTTGTTTTACTGTCTTGAAATTAAGTTATGTTAATTTGAAGAATGTAAACTCGTGTGCCAACCCCAGAATGAGGTAGACTGAGAGATTAAAGTTTTTTTTTAATTTTAACCTAGAAATAAAAGTATCGTTTTAAAATTACAAACATCGTAACTTTGACTTAAGTCCAAAATTTAGTTGCAAATAAATTAACACAAGAATAAGGTGTTTTAAATCTATCCTCCACTCTCGTAACAATATGTTTGGTTAAAACTTAAAAGAAGAAGAGTATTATTTCTTCTTAACCTTGCCGTAATTATTTATTAAAACACTTTTGCTCGTGTAAGGAAGTTTATAATGAATATTGAAGAAACTCCAGCAGGTGTGCGTATAACCTTTTATCTGAATTGAAGCGCCCCAAGACTTTAATCATACGACGAAGAAAAATTGACATGTTCGTAGGTAAATTAGCTGAAATGTACAAGGAATATTTAAAATGAAATATATTTAAACACGCTGCTATCGTGCGGCTTCATCTTCATCCGCATGGAATTATAAAAACTTTATTTTATTGTTAGCGTTAGTCAAATTCTCAATTGCAAATGTTCAAAATTACCGTTACCATAATAACTGTGCTTCCTTAATATTGGCAGCTTGTAGGTTATAGTCCCTTTCTCACATGAAGGTTTTTATTCCAATTTATTTACCCCCTAAGTTTAATGTCGTGGAAATATAAAGCCTAAAGCGTGTCTCAAGTATAGGGCTTTTTATTAAAGAAATAATTATTCAGAAATATGCTGTGATTGCTGACATCCTACATCACAAAGTATTTACTGTTTATTACATTAGTATAGATATAGAAGTGTAGGAAGCAACGAAGTTGTGCAGAATCAGTTAATTTGTTAAGATGATTCTAACCGTGAAATTTTATTGCCAAAATTCAACGTATTGTTGTCTCGGTTGTTCTTAAAGACAATGAGAGGGACAAAAGTAGAAGTGCTCCAATAGTGGAAAAGTCCAATTTTCTCTTGTCTTTTTACTATTAACTTTTGTTAAGCTATTAGTTGAAAATTACCAGTCTATTTGGAAGTAGCGAAAATCTTTTATTTGTAAAAATATTTCTTTTAATATTGAACAATCCAGCGATGTAAATTTTTATTCCCGGTCCCTGTCTACATCCCTAAATGTCTGGATATAAACTGCAGACTCCTGAACGATTCAATTCAGATAAAAGGTTTCATGCACAGCTGGCTTCTTTGCAAATTTACGATGTTACTATCAAGTGTGCGGGAGGCTTTTTGTGGGGTTTTAAGATTTTGTTTTCCCGAATAAATGTGTAGAACTGCCATCTATTGGATATAATTGGCAACACAAATGTTATAGGCTTGAGTTATTGCCAGCAATGAGCCTTTTTGTTGTCATTTAATTAATAGAATTGAACCCATTATAATGAGACTTAATCATATAAATGTTTTATATGCGAAAGTTACCATGAATGGATGGATGTGTTAGCGATTTAGCTTAAACGGCTGAACGGATCTCCAAGAAATTTGGCACAGGTTTAGAGCATAGTCTGGAAGAACATATGAGCTACGTTTTATCCCGGGAATAGTTACGGTTCCCGTGGGATTCATTAATTTAGTTTTTTAATGTTTACTCGATCATTCTGCAACGGTTCAACATATGTTATTGAAATTTGGCACAGATATAAAACAAAGTCTGCAATACACATGGGATAAGGTGCATCTCCGAGAAATGTCCGGATCCCGAGGAATACGTAGCTTTTTGTTATTTCTATAGTTCGTATGTTTTCTAATACCACGCGGACGAAGTCGCAGGCAACAGTTCGTGTTAAATAAAACAATAGAAGCCGTTATCGTAATAAAACAGTTTTTAGTTATTAAAAAAATCGTTGTAGCCCTGTTTAGTAATGTAAATGTGAGTAATACAATTTTTTTCTATGTTTTTGGAAGCGAAAATGTACGGTATGATTGAAAAATATCACATTGATATTCCAGTCCAATTCTCGTTTAATATTCTGAAGTATGTTATATCAGATATCGCGTTACGAATGCAGATAGAAAAAATGGATGTCATTTATTCTGCGAACGAAACGAAGATTGAGATAAAACATTTCTTGAAGTAAGTTTTTTAAACATATAAGATTTGTGGGATTTAGTTAATTTTAGTGTATTATTGAACCTTAATTTAATTATTAATTTATTGCTAACTCTGTAACAATTAATTTCAATATATTTTGTACTGCTGTTGCTCGCAACTTCGCCCGTGTGGTATTGAAAAATAATAAAAAATCTAGCCCATGTTACTAACAGATAAATTACCTTCCTAATGGTGTAATTTTTTAAATTTGTCCAGTAGTTTTTAGGTTATTTCAATACGTACAGAAAACAAATCTTTTCTCTTTATAATATTAGTATAGTATGGGCGTCACAGCCATGTTATGCTTTAATAAAATATAACTAGTATTCTTTACCTCTCATGTTTTCTTCAAATTTGCACAGAATAACCTTACCAATAATACCGTTTTTCCATGTATCCACGCTCGCCACTACCAATATGGCCGTCGTGTCGTCGAGCCAATACATCAACCTTATTTTGACATCTGACTACTGTCTGATTATTAACATAACAAGTAGAATTCCTACATTTTAAAACCATGACATAAATATTTAAATAATGTGTTGGATCACAATTACAAAGTTTATATTGTTATTTGAAATAAAAACAAATGGTACTGATTTATAGCACAGACTAAATAACCTTCAAGAATACAGAATACATCAAAACAGTTGAAAAGCTAACAGTAGATCGTATGTAATGAAAATTAAAGACTGTCTTAAGCTTGTTAGGAGGACGTAGAATTCGCTATATTTTACTAGCCTGTTTTTTAACTGAACTAGAAACGGTTTTCCAGTTTTACTGAAGTTTATACAAAAGTTGAGCGCAAAAAACCAGAAAAAACATTGTCAAACTAGAAAAAGTATTTACTCATCCGAGTTGCGCTTGTTTTACAATGTACGTGTTTTATTCAGACTTTGAGCGAAGAGTGCTTTGTTACCGTCACCATGTAGACTGAATGACCTAGAAACCGACGTATTAAACCTCAATGTGAACGTGTAACAAATTAGTGATTTTTTTTATATAAAACTAGCTGTCACTCGCGACTTCATCTGCGTCAAATTGAAAAATAATAAGACATAGCCTATGTTACTCATAACGTAGCTTTTTAATGGAGAAAGTAATCGGTCCTGTAGTTATCTTACTAATATTATGAATGCGAAAGTTTAGATGGATGGATGGATGGATGGATAGATGAATGGATGGATGGATGTATGTTAGCGTTTGTAGCCTAAACGGCTGAACGGATCTCCATGAAATTTGGCACAGGTTTAGAGCATAGTCTGGAAGAACACATAGGCTACTTTTTATCCCTGGAATAGTTACGGTTCCCATGGGATATTGAAATAACTCAAACACTACACTTTCAGAAATTATTTCACCATTACAAAAATACGTTATCAATCATTAAAATGTATCTTTTAAATTATTCTTTAATTCTACGCAGACAAAGTCGCGAGCAACAGCAGTAGTAACACATAACCCGTTTATTTACAAAGAGGTGAAACTTTCTTATACGTTTCAATGACAATTTTAACTTACTTATGGGATACTATCGAGTGATTTTCAAAGATTTGTGTTTCCTTGTGTACGGGGCTCAGATGACACCTTATCAGAATGTTTACTGATATCTTGGTTGTGTATTAAAAAATCAACGTACAATTTAATCCCTAAATAGTAAGATAAGATAGTTACAATCCAATCCATAATAAACACATTGATTTTTTAACAGTTTTTTTATGATAAGATTGTAAATATTCTTGATTGTAGTTTAATTTAGACATTGGGAGCGGCAAGTTGTTTTGTAATATATGTGTTGAAAGTTTACTAAAATTAATTTATGAAATGGCGAAGAAAAGTAAAGCGCAAAAGAAGCAAGCTAGTTCTGTTATTGAACAAAAAGTAGTTCAAGAAAGAAGTAAAGGTTCTAACAATGTGAGTAATATTCAATTTAATTGAATTCTTTTATTTGTAGTGTTACCTTTTTAACTATTTTGATATATTTCTGTATTCTTAAGTAATTATATTGTATTGAGTAATTAACGATTTACTTGTTTTAATTTTCTATGAATGCTTTTTAAATAATTTATTTAAATTTCAGGTCTGTTTACTAATAACATCTGTTATAGTAGTTCTCGTTGGTCTGGCTTGTTTACAACTTTATGTCAAAGTGATCGCAGTGCCAGATCTACCGGAGATAGATTTGAACGAATCGTGGGGACCTAACACGACCAAATCAAAAGATACATCTATAAGACCATTTAGAGTCGTATACATTGATTCTGTAAGTATAGCATTAATAAATTAAATCAAACTGGAGTAAGTGGAAATAGAAGCTGTTTTAATAAAGTGGAGTATCGACCAGAAATGCATGTTTTTCAAAGTTTAAGAGGAAGTTTGTGAGTAGCCCAGTGGATCAGAAATTAAGGAGTAAAAGGTGAGCATGGTATGATTATGAGGAGGGACGAATCGTATGTAACAAGAAGAATTAAGTTATGAGTGTGGTACACCGCTAGAGGTAGACCTAGAAATAGATGGATGTATTGCGTGAAAGGTGACATGATCAAGAAGGGTGTTATGACTGAGATGACAGATGATAGAGTTTTGAAGGACGAAAACCCGGTGCGCCGGGAATAGAATAAGGTAGGGGATATGATGGTGACTTTTCAAAGAGCAATGAAATGTACAAATAATTACAGATCTCAATTCAAATCTTTACATGACTGTTAAAATTTACAGATGCAAGAAGGTCTTCGTAGATTATTCGACAGCTTCCGCAGGCGTCCCAAGTTGAAAAGTTTAACAGAAAACTCGAGCTATGGCGTACACTCTGACGCATTTGGACAATTCTTCGCGCAATGGCAGTTTAAATATCCTTTCAGAGATCGTGTGAGATACCTCAATAAGTACGATCACTTCAAAACGTATGTTCAAGGATTGGATATTCATTTTGTACATGTGAAGCCTAAAGTTGCTGGAAATGTTAAGGTAAATAGAATAAAGTGTTTTAAAAGAAGTAAAAGGGACCATGTTATACAAAAAACGATGTGATTAACATTTTTCTTTCAGGTCTTACCGATTTTACTTATTCATGGATGGCCAAGTACTTTCAAGGACTTTTATGATGTGATACCAATTTTAACTACACCGAGACCAGGATATGATTTCGTATTTGAAGTCATCGTTCCCAGTTTGCCTGGATATGTTTACTCGCAGGTATGTCTTAGTATATTTTGAACATCATCATCTGCTAATACTAGTATGAATCTATATTCTCCATGTTATGTAACTTGTTTTCACCCGCGACTCAAGAAAATAAAACAAAAGTGAGTCGCCTATGTGTTCTTTTAGACTATCCTTTACGTCTATACCAAATTTCATCGATATTCGTTTAGCCGGTTACAAACTCTAACATCCATCCATCATAACTTTCGCATTTATAATATTAGTATGATAATTTTCAGGCTACACAAAAACGTGGATTAGCACCAGCTCAAATAGCTGTAATCCTTAGAAACCTGATGAAGAAGATTGGTCATGAGAAATTCTTCATTCAAGCTGGTGATCTTGGTCATGTTATTGGATCTCACATGGCGACGCTATTCCCTGAACAAGTGCTCGGCTTCCATACGAATACACCAATTAATCCTTCCAAATTGGCCAATTTGATTTGGCTGCTTGGATCAGTTTGGCCAACATTGGTAGCTGGTGATCTGGCAGATAAAATGTATCCGATGAGCGAGAAATTGAGTTATTATTTGGAAGAATCTGGTTATATGCACTTACAGGGTACCAAACCTGATACCATAGGTAAGTTTTTAATAAAAAAAACAAATGATATCAATTTCTTCTAGTTTATTAGTGGTTAACTTTTCACTTTTCAGTAGTGGTTTTGATGATTTTCAGTTAAATAAATTGACTATTTTTAATCAGGTTACGTCCTCCAAGATTCTCCTGTTGGTCTGGCAGCGTACATGCTGGATAGATATATGGCGTTCTCAAACTCTTCGTTCAAGAATACAGAAGAAGGTGGCTTAGACAATATATCCTCTTTTGATATGCTGGACAATGTGATGCTGTACTGGATTACCGGCTCGATGACGTCAGCTATGAGACTGTACAAAGAGAGCTTTGGAAGTGAGACGGAATTGATACTGGCCAGGTAATTATTTGAGTTTTTTTTTTAATACAATTCAATGCACAATGGTCTGCCATTTGTTTATTTAACTGCTTCTTTAACCGAAACACATGACCGAGGGTAATTAAATAGACGTGTGGTTTTCTTGATGATTTTCTGTTTTATTTTATTCTTAAAGCATGATATAGTTTTAGTGATACAAAAAGAATTATGTATCTGTTTTAGTTAAGATGATTGTAAATAGGAATGTTGAGCTACATGCATAGATGTTTGTTAGTCTACCGCTTAAACGGATAACCGGATCTCGATGAAATTTGTCATAGATGTTGAGAACAAAATAACAAGATCAAAAATGTTACTTACTTTTTTAAATTTAAGAGTCGCACGCGATAGCTAGTTGTTCATATCTTATATTAGTTTACCATAGAATAATATTGATAGAATAGAATTTTTGTTTTCTATTTCAGAATTCCAACACGTGTACCTACTTGGGCTCTGAGATTAAAATACGAATTGTTCTACCAACCGGATTGGCTTATCAAATTTAAATATCCTTCCCTACTTGGTACTACCTCTTTGGACGATGGAGGACATTTTGCCGCTCTAGAAAAACCTAAAGAATTAGCAGCTGATGTGTTCAAGGCTGTGAAAAGTTTTCTAGAATATTATAAAAAGAAATAAATCCAGTTCTAATGACACTTTTCTATTAATTTGTTTATATCTTTATGCAGTAGTGAATAATTAAGGGATGTAGGTTGATAAGCTTTGCTTCAAAAAAATTGAAATTTTTATATGCCTTCAGTTTAAAAGAAAAATTACGAATTCGTCAATTTCAAGTATTCGTAGTAGAAACCAAAGACAAGTTTCTGAACATACCTAAATTAGACATTTATACAGGTGACTGTATTTTCGTGTTTAGAATTGCATTTAAAGTTGGATTAATCCCAACCTTCACCGCGCTCTGTTGTCGTGGGGACAGATGATAATTAATTCCGTTAAGGAATAAAATAAGTTCTAAAAGTCCCCTTCATCGTCCACTCGTCGCAAAAAGTGGGACTGATGAAACTATGTATTCTCACCTGTCCCCGCGTGGGGACAAGGCGGGGTGACGTTTGGGATATAATTCTCAAAATTAAGAGTTGAATATCGGATGTATTTATACAATGGATGAAACAGTTAAGTTTCCATTTACGTCATTATCAATATTTAAAGCAAGAGAGTTGCGACAAAGCAGTTGTAGATCGTTAAATGAATTCAAAGCGTTTAAACTCGCGCTGGAATGCTTTTGAATTACTTAAATTGCTTTTCTCGATTCCTATAGCTTTCCCTACCAACGTTTCTTTTGTTTGTCTCAATACTGGAAAATAGACAGACTTTTTAATACAGATTAGATCTAATTAGTGCTAATCATATACCACTTAGATCTTACTTTTATAACTAATAATATAAATGCGAAAGTTTTGATGGATGTTTGCAAGAGTTTGTAACCTAAAGGGCTGAACGGATCTAGATGATATTTGGCATTGACGTAGAGGATTGTTTGGAAGAACACATCACTATTCACTTTTGTTTTTTAATTCAACGCGGATAAAGTCACTGGCGAAAGCTAGTAGTTTTATGAATATCAAGCTATTTTTGGAATACTAATGTTTTGTACATCAGTATTTTAGAAGTTCTTCGCAAGGTAAATTTTTACTCCTGTGAAATGTTTTATAATTATACTTATACAGTAGGTTTCCACTGTTACATTGATTTAAATTTACAACAATTTTATCTATTGTGTTGCGACTTTTCTTGGTGCGGAGTAAAATTTATTTTTTTGACAGAATCTATACTCTATACTATATGCTATCTATCTATATCTTTACTATTATAATAAAGCGTAACACACACTTCTTTGTTGCCTAAGATGTCAGCAATTACGACATATTTTTTTAATAAATCTTTTTTTACTAAAAAGCCCTACACATACGTCACGCTTTAGGCTATATATTTTCACGTCATTAAACTTAGGGGGTAAATATTTTTGATAAAATCCCTAATGTGGGAAAGAGACCATAAGTTGCTGCCAACATCAAGAAGCAAGAATGTCAAGTTTTGTCATGTCATGTCATTTTGACATTTGCAATTGATAATTTGACACATGTAAACAATAAAATAATTTAATGCTGATGCATAAAACTACAGAACATTCTTTGCTATAAACTACCTTTGTAGTTAGTCTGTGGAGATTTTATAAAACGATTCAGTGGTTAAGCTTGGTGTTTAAGTGCTACGGAGGACGTAAATTACTATCTTAAATCTGTTGAACGTTTCCGTTCGCTTCAGCTCTCTTGTTGATTCTTCGAATTTAATGGACAGATGGAAATGTTTTAAATTGTTTCTGAGAACGGTACTTTCTAACGATTTTTACTTTTTGAGTTCTTGTATTTACTGATTTTAGTTGAGAGGAGGTTGTGGCATCTATAGATTCTTACATCTACTAGCTTTTGCCCGCGACTCCGTACGCGTGGAATTAAATAAACAAAAGCCTATGTGTGCCAAACTATCTTTTAGGTCTATGCCAAATTTCACCGAGATCCGTTCTGCCGTTTAGGCTGCAAACTCTAACAAACATCTATCCATCCATCCATCTAAACTTTGGCATTTGTAATAACGTCGGAATCGGGTGTCCTTGATTTTCTGTAACATTGCCTAAGCGATTGTCTTTATCTAAAATATTATCTGCAATGAATTGCTATTGAGCAAGGCGTGTGTTTTATGCACTGTCTTGGAATTTCTTATGAGAAATTTTAATTTAAAATAACCAATTTGTGCTTAGAGTCCTTTAAAAAGTGTTGGTCTTAGTTTTAAAATTTGAATTCAATAGTTAAGAAAATGTATTGGAATTAAAGGAATACCAGCTTTTGCCCGCGACTCTGTCCGCGTGGAAATAAATATTTAGCATATGTCTTCTTCCAGACTATTCTCCACTTCTTTGTTAAATTTTAGTGAAATCCGTTCAGTAGCTTAGACTACAAACTCTAACAAATATCGCTCTAACCATCTAAACTTTTGCTTTATTTTAAGCTAGATTTGTAGCATTTTTATTATTGTAGTTACTAAACAATCCAAAAAACTTTTTGATATCCAAATTTTTTTTGTTCAATTTAACTTAGGTTTCCATTGTTGTTACTTGTAAACATACATCTCATTCTCTTTGTAAAAACAATGTTGTTTTAATACAAGTCTTACGGAAGCGAAAAGCTGCAATTAAATAGATTTGTGACGTCGCAACACGACACGTGACGTCACAAAAGCCGGTACGATTTATCAGAAAGTAGGCTGCGCTAATTACGCATTGTTCGATATTCATCAGAGGTTTTCTTTACGGAACAAATTGAAAAAAAAAAAACTTTTCTTCAGTATTAATTAAAAACAAAAGAAATACAGTAGATTGAACAACGAGATTGTGGAATTAATGAATGTGTATGGTAACACTGTTGTATACTGTCAGGTGGCATTCCAGTAGGGCAGTGCGAGCCACCTACGGGATAAGTCGTCACCAGCATACAGTATAAATGGCATACATTTTAATCTAACTAGATTACTAATTACTATACTAACATTATACAGAGGAAAGATTTTTATTTTGCTATGTAATGAAGAGGTCTAAAAATTACTTGGCCGATTTCAAAAAATTTCACCATTAGAAAGGTAATTTTTCTATAAGTAACATAGGCTATATTTTTACATTTCTTTATTTTTGTATTTCACGCGAATGGAGTCGCGGGCAAAACCTAGTATTTAATGAAGTTATAAAAATATACCACTTAGGTATCTACTTTACAATTGGACATAACTCACGGTAGTAACCCTAAGGGGTAGACATATTATGGATCTCCATTTGACGTGGATCTCACATCCTCACGCTTCTATATCATGCACATCGGTTGGTGTTTTTAATGCGGGCAGTATTTCATCAATACTAGCTGTTGCTCGCGACTTTGTCTGCGTGTAAAAAAAAAGTAAAAGATAGCCTATGTTACTCAGTGATGCCGTAGTTTTAAAATGGGAAAATAATCGAAATCGATCCAGTAGTTTTCGAGTCATTTCAATACATAAAAAAATACGCTTTCCTCTTTATAATATTAGTATAGATAGTAAATGGAAAGTTGGTCTACATATAAATGTGATATCCAATTAAATATATTTAATATTCCAAAGTTAGTAAAGTAAGTTATTAATCATAAACTTGGTCTCACAAATCTGGTTGTGATTTCTTTAAATCATATTTCAAAGCATCAAGTTATTAATGGTGGGTAGTTTATCTTCTGCGAAGAATGAAAAGTATAGGAAAGCTACGGATTTTATTCTGATTTATTATCCTTGTTCTATATTTAGTTAACTAGGAAAAACTAAACTTAGTTTCATTGATAAAAATAAAAAAATAAAACGCTATTAACCCAGAAAAAAACAAAACAAAATTTACAGAACTTGTAAAAAAAAATTTAAAAAAAAGTTAATTTTAGGCCAAGAGGAGATCAGCTCAGCTGATGCGGCCTCCATCTTGTCTTGAAGCCCACACTGGTTTTCAGTATACACTACACTTTGCCTATCTAGATAATTATATTAACTCTTTTCATGTTTTCATTTTTTGTCTTGTAAAGTTACTTTTATTATATCTCTCTGCTCTCTCCTCCGTCTGCGTGAAATTAAAAAACAAAAGTAAGTAGCCTATGTGTTCTTCCAGACTATGCTCTACATCTATGCCAAATTTAATCGATATCCGTTCAGTAGTTATCCCTTCGTTTCTTTATAAAAAGAAAGATATGAAAATGCGATTTTCCATAGTATTATAGTTGGGACAATCCAGTAAATAACATTAACAGCGGGCGAACACCTGACTAAACTATCGCATAACTGTTGTCGATTGTCGATTGTTTCGCAGCCAATTCAACTGTTTAGTTGCCCAACTGTAGATCGAGTAATGTGCTCACCTCCATAAGCTTATAGGAATCAAAGAGAGACTAAACAGTTGTGCGATATATTAGTAAAAGTGTAGCGCGCTCTTAAGATTAAATTCGTATAGGTATTTTCTTGCCAAGTTGACTTTCAATTATTTCTCCACTACACATTGCTCGTTCATTTTCTTTTTGCCCTACTAACTCGTAACCAATAAATCGGATCGAGGCGTTAAGAGCTTTAATTGCTTTCTCACAATCCAATCGTTTCCGTGATGGAATAACAACAAAGCGAGCCGTACTAACGGAATTAACAAAAGGATTTACACTGATTTTGTAGAACGTAAGACGGAGATCGGAAATCTCTGAATTAAGAATGCCTTTTTAAATTAATTGTTTTTTTTTGTACAATAAATTGGAAATTAAACTGAAAGATTTTATTATTCGCGTGTATGTGATTTTGTTCAACTCTTTCTAATGTTTTCATGATTTTTTTTTAAATAACAACGAGCAAGCGGCCACCTGAATCCACAGAAGTGGAAAGCGACCGCTGCCTATAAACATCCGCAATTGCAGATGCGTTGCCTAACCTTAATTGACGGAGGAGGAGACGCACATAAAGAGAACATTTCCCCTTCCTATGCGTCTCCTCCACCGTCAAATCCACTTTTCTTTCTCATCTTTTACTATTAAGAAAAGGGTAAAAAGGGAAAGGGACTTTAATTAGGCCTCCGGCACTACACTCATCAGACGAAACGTGGAATTGCTTCCAATTCACGCTTGTTTTCTGTGTGGTCGTGGTATTGCACCGGGCGAGCCGACCCATTCGTGCGAAGATGTTAAAGCGGGCTCTACCACAAGTAAAGCAATTTGTTACATTTAGTCATTTTCTTTTTTTAAATTAAGGTTAGTTTATTACTGTTCAATTATTACGACTATAATTAATTAATCGCTCACATGTGTTCAGTATTATGTCGTAAATCATTATTATTAGTAAGGAGCAAATAGACATATGATAGGAGCAGCTGTGCATGTATTTGAACTAACATAATTTAATAATGTAATTATTTGATCAAACGAATGTTTGATTTGACAAATGCGAGCGTCAGTTTCCATTGTTAAATAAATGTCGAGTGCTTGACGTGATTTTTTAACGCTGGGTTCCAGAAATATGCTGTTTATTAACGGTTTCTCAACATTAGTAATAATAAAAGATACCATATGTTAGTCACTGAGAAACTATATTTTTAATTATGAAAGGTTTGTACAATCAGTCCAGTAGTTTTTACGTGAATAAAATACATACAAAAATACAAATCTTACCTCTTTATTATTAGTATAGACTATTTGAATTTCAATTAATCTTAAAGTATTGAAGTTCTATTTAAAAAGGTAAAAATCTTTGATAGCAAATTTTAATATGTTTATTTTCAATTGTTTTTAATCTTGGTATTAGAAGAGTTTTTAAATACCAAGAGATTTTGATGCAAAGTATAAGATACGAGTCGGTTGGTAGGAACTATGACAAACTCTATAGTAAGTTTGAACAAGATGGCGGCATACGTCGGTGCAGTTAATTATTCTTGTATCACAACATCCTGTTCATTATAATGAGTCAAGAGAAGCACTGAAACTCATCTCTCATTAATCTAAGAAAACATGTCGTTTTGTTAGATGACTTTGTTTATTTTGCTACTAGCTGTCCCCGTGCGACTTCATCCGCATGAAATTATGAAAATTTTATTTTATTGTTTACATTTGTCAAATTATCAATTACAAATGTCAAAATGACATGACATGATGACAACCTTGCTTCCTTGATGTTGGCAGCAACTTTGGTATCTTTCCCACATTTGGGTTTTTATCCAAAATATTTACCCCCTAAGTTTAATGGCGTTAATAAATAGCCTAAAGCATGACGTACGTGTAGGGCTTTTTATTAAAAAAGGAATTAAATATTCAAAAATATGCTATAATTGCTGACATTAGGCAACAAAGAATTGTGTGTTTACGCTTTACTATAGATGAAAGTTTTAGCGGAAGTTTCCGCTTTATAAACTGTACGTCTAATACTAAAATCGTTCTTACTTGTTGTTATCGCGTTATAGTATGTAGTTATAATAATATTTATAAAGAGGAATGCTTTGTATTTTTGTATTGAAATAACTCAAAATCTACTGGGACGATTTCAAAAATGCTTTCGCCATTATGAAGCTATGTTATCAGTGAGTAACATGTATGCAATGTTTTTTTTATTATTTTTATATTTCACACGGGCGAATTCGCGTAAAACATCTAGTAGTGTATATATTTCGTGAACCTGATGTACATACGTACGTTGACTGCCGATGTACGAATAATTGTAAAAATATTTGTCTGTTTGTGTTCTAACTACGTTTGTTTCTAAGTTATCTTATAAACTATACTACATTGATGTATTCGGTAATATACATAGATTGCTTTTTATTGCATTTAACGCTGACGAAAGTCGCAAGCAAGCGGTAGTATTAATATCTTTGTGAAAGAGTAAATAATTAAAATAAATTTCAAACAATAGTAATTTGACTTCGTGAATAACAAGTACAAGTTATCTTGTTTACAACTCACTGCGAACTTGTTCTTACACTTGGGAAACCGTTGCAGCTTAAACTTTGAAGTTTATGCTTGAATGCAAGTTATATCAAGTTGTAAGTTGCGGTGACGGGCAACAGCTTGTAGTTAGAATGGATCTGAAATTAAAAATGCTTTTATCTATACTATTATAATAAAGCGTAAACACACACTTCTTTGTTGCCTAAGATGTCAGCAATCACAGCATATTTTTGGATAATCCTTTTTTTAATAAATAGCCCTACACTTACGTCACGCTTTAGGCTATATATTTTCACGCCATTAAATTTAGGGGGTAAATATTTTGGTTAAAAACCCTAATGTGGGAAAGAGACCATAAGTTGCTGCCAACATCAAGGAAGCAAGATTGCCAAGTTTTGTCTTATGTCATTTTGACATTTGGAATTGACAATTTGACACATGTAAACAATGAAATAATTTTATGCTGATAAAATCGCACAGGAACAGCTAGTACAAAATAAATTAAATGGTGTAAAACGTCTATCTACACTTCTATCATACGTCATACTAATATTATAAATACGAAAGTTTAGATGGATGGATGTTTGTTATAGATTGTAGTCTAAACGGCTGAACGGATTTTGTTGAAATTTTGGTATAGATGCAGATGGTAGTCTGGAAGAACACATAGGCTACTCATTTTTTTAAAGTTCTACGCGGACGATGTCGCGTGCGAAAGCTGGTATGTCTGTTGATTATATTGGTATTACGACATTTAATTAAATATACATATAAGAAGGCGAGAACGAATTTAAAATTTAATCTTTTATGAAACTCCACGACTATAGTTCTGGCCGGCAATATAAATATAAAAAAAAAAACAAAATGCCATACTGTAAAATTTAGATATTCGTAATATTTTGCTGTGTTTTTTTAATTTGTTTTATTCTGATTAAGCAAAAACCAACATAATGAACGTAATATTTTATCCCTGGCTTACATTTATAGAATTAATATTGTTCATTTTTCACAGTCAGCGTCTCCGTTGTGGCGAGACGAAATTAAGAAAGGAAGCAAGTTAAGCCGAGAAGATTATGGAGATTTTGTGCAAATTGATTAAAAAAATGCAAAATACAGATAATGAAGTAGTAAAGAATGAAGAAAATGAAGTTAACAGAATAAAGGTATTTAATATTGATTAAGGAATTTAAAAATAGGGAACTATAGTTTGTTTAAATAAGATAGATTAGTTTGATAAATGACGCATATGAAGTATAGAATTCAATTTGTACGAAGGCAAATGCCGTACTTAATAGACAGTATCGTAGTGACGAAACAAACACGCAGCGAACAATTGTGAACTATCGATATTCGGTTTAAATAATTATCGAACTCAACTAAAATTATTATTTTCTTATTAACTAATATAGCGGACAATCCTAGTATAAATTATAGTGTAGAGAATTTAGCGATGACAGAAGTAATAGCGAAATCCAATTCAATTACGTACGGCTGTAGTAGTAATAAATATTTATTTTATCTAATTACTAGCTGTTCCCATGCGATTTCATCCGCATGAAATTATGAAAATTTTATTTTATTGTTTCCATGTGTCAAATTCTCAATTGCAAATGTCAAAATGACATGACATAGTGACAAACCATGACAACCTAGCTTCCTTGATGTTGGTAGCAACTTATGGTCTCTTTCCCACATTAGGGTTTTTATCCAAAATATTTAACCCCTAAGTTTAATGGCGTGAAATATAAAGCCTAAAGCGTGACGTAAGTGTAGGGCATTTTATTAAAAAAAATAATTATTTAAAATATGCTGTAATTGCTGACATCTTAGACAACAAAGAAGTGTGTGTTTACGCTTAATTATAATAGTATAGATTTGTAATGGTTCTGCAGATCATTATTAATTTGAGAAAACAGTGTTTTTTTTTTAATTCATAAGTTATAACTATGAATCTATCGATTCCAACTTTTATAAGAATAAAAATTGAAAATCGATAAGATTCATGACTGATTTTACACAACCATCCCTACTAAATTTCAAATGAATTATCAAACTAATATATCTTATTTAAACAAACTATAGTTTAATTTAGTCGTAAAACTCGTAATGTAAACATTGTTTTATCACTACGATTCACAATTCGTTTGTGGTGAAAATGTACCGATTTGTGAGGAGAAAAAGGATTTGACTTTTTAAAACTTTTATCTGAACTTAACAGCGGTTTGGTGCTTTAATATTTTTATTCGGACTAAAATGGAATTTAACAAAAACTTTTACACAATTATTATCTATAAAATTGTACTGATTGCTTCGTCGGAAACCTTCAAAGCGACCGCGAGACGACGAACTTTCTTTGCAAAATAATTTCTTGACACGAATATTATAAAGAGAAAAGATTTGTATTTTTGTATGTATTGAAATAACTCAAAAACTACTTGGCCGATTTTGAAAATTCTTTCACAGTTAGAAAGGTAATTTATCTGTGAGTAACATAGGCTGCTTTTTTATTTTGAATATTACGCGGATGAAGTCGCGAGCATCAGCTAGTATCAAATATATGTATTTAGTAATTAGTAACACATCTAAAGTCACACAAGATAGGAGTACATAACAGACATTGCAATACTTTAAGTATTCTATACAACCTTACAGAGTTTAATGGTTTGTTTAAACAGTCTCTTAGGGCCTGTCCCACAATTCTTGTCAGTCAGATAACAATCCAACGTATAAAACATCTGTTGGAATTATTGAATTTTGGTACTCTATCTGACAGTGACGTCACTTTTAAGATATCTCAACCAATCAGCCAGTGGTAGGACAGGTCTTAAGTATAGATTTTTCAAATATATAAGGAATCTTTAGTGATCACTTTACACTAGCTACAACAGTTCGTGTCAATAAGCGCCTTGAAATGCAAAGCGGAAACAGGTAAATAACATCACAGAAGCAATCACCTGCAATCGAATTCTTTATCGAGTTAAATTTGTCGCGTCTGTGATTTGGTCGCTGTTCTTTTTTTAACATTTGTCGGCTTGCGGCGGGACCTTATTTCCCTCAGGAAAATGTTATTACAATGTAATTAATTGTCTATTGCATTTTAATAAATCTTTGTGTCGTAAGATGCTAGCAATCTCAGCATATTTTTGAGTAATTCTTTCTTTAATTGATTGGATTGGCGGGATTACAGGATTAGCTCCTGCAGCACAGGAGAGCGTAGTGCAGAAGCCGACGCTCTTATGAAATGTATATTTCCAAAAGTGAAGTAATAAACCATTTACTTATTTATTTAATAAAAAGACCTACACTTACCACACACTTTAGGCTATATATTTTCACGCTATTAAACGTAGGGGGTAGATAAATTGACACAAATCTACATGTGGAAAAGGGACCATAAACTACAAGCTGTCAATATTAAGAAAGCAAGGTTATTATGGTAACGGTAAATTTGACATTTGCAATTGAAAATTTGACAAAAGTTTTCATAATTTCATGCGGATGAAGCCGCCTTGAACAGCTAGTTAGGTTATATAATTATGGTAGTCAGAGAGCTCATTACGATTTCTTTTTAGAGCATTACTAACTGTACTTTTTAACGTTGATCTTAGATTTTATAGTAGTTTTAGGAATTATATTATTCCTACATTTGCGTAAATGTCAGTATGAGAGAATTTGTATCGTTATTCTGTTGAATTGTAGCGTTATTAAACCACGAACATTTCACGTATGTTCTGAATTCCGGTTGTATTAAAT